AATAAATAATTTAAGTTTTTAATTATTTCCATTTCTCTCAATTCTACAATCTCAATTTTCATCACCATTGCACAAAAAAACATTTATGGTCAATATTTTATTTATAATTATTTACATAGATCCTTTCAAGCAAATTATTAGAAGCAAAAAAAAAGGACAATGTATTATTCGTTGTAATTGTTCTCTTATGTACTATTTAATACCATTTTTTCCTAATATGAACTGCATTTAAGTATTCATAATTTTAAGATTCAACATTATGCAAAACTTTAAAATTCAATAATTAAACAAATTTAAAAATAACCTTTGGATAAAACTATGTAGTAGTCAACGCAGACAGTAATCTTTATAATGATTTCTAACGATAGATTACATTAGAAAAAATGTCATGCAGAATAAATCTCATACGCACATTGACATTTGACGAGTAAATCGTACTGTTCTGTGGTAGTAATGAGAGCTTAAGACGACATTGAAAAACGACAATCTAATATTGATGCATAGTTACTATGGGATCAGACAATTTCTTGTAGCGACTAACCTAGTTTCTCGTTTTCTCTTTTCAATATTTCGTCTTCAGTTGCTGCATTCATCAAGTCGAACTATTGACATGGACACATGTTCTCTGTTTACTAAACACTTTGAAGTATGCACTTCATACAATAAAACTATTTGTGATAATTATATTGAAAATAAAATTTATAGACAAGGAATATATATGTTTCATCTAAATTACAAATCTAATACTTGACAGGTACCCAAAAAATAATATATATATACGTATATTAATAAAATCCTTATCAATTTAATTGATTCAACACTCAATCAATATGATATTTATTTCGATATTAGTTCAAATCAAAACTCGACATATGTTTAATCAATATGATTGACTAAAGAGAGTAGACTGTTTCTCTAATCTTGAATGTCAATGTACTTTCTGTTAGCAATAAGATCTTAACATAAAGAATAGATTGTTAGTATCTATATCTGTACTATAAACAACTGTCTTTGTTCCATACATGAATGCAAATAATCAGTCGTCAATAAATTACCAAAACAGGCATCAACCTACGAAGAATTCTTTCTCAATAAAAGATCTTTTGTATATATTTATATATATATATATATATGATGAAAGAATAAGAGTAATTGTTCTTTCAATAATATTGTTGAAGCTTGACTAACGAATAGAAATGGATACATAATTAGTTTAACGACTTCTAGTTTACTATCCACCCACCTATTGATAGACACCTGATTAGCTCAACTAATCTTTTTCTCCCTTTAATCATACACTCCTACATTATAATCATACAGTTCTTGAACATATACTCACATATATATTCATATATATTTAATTGACCTTTGTTCGTCCTTCGCCTCTGTGCATACTCTTTCGCTTTTCATTGTTCACTATCACTATTTACACACTGTTATTGTCAAAGATATGAATGACACGACGGGTAGTAAGTGTAATTTTTAATTTTTATTGCATGATTCGATCATGCATATATAGAGTACTACTTATAATCAAGGTGACTACCTATAATTTAAATGAAAGAATATATAACGAAGTATTTATTATCTCGTATCCTCCTATATGTAATGTTCATTATGAAATAGACATTATTTTCTCATTAATTAAACACATTTCCTTTTCTTATTATTATTATTTTTTTTTTTAAGTAAGATATTGCGTACAATGATGCTATCGAGACATATGGATCTCATCAAAACAATAAGCATCAATCGCATAATTCCTCGATGGACCGTAAATATGTGGAAAAAAATACAGATTTGGCAAATGATCGAAAAATGTTTTAGAAAACTCCGACTAACGAGAGACATACTTTATTGTATGGGATAATATTAACCGGTGTCCAATATGGGTCAAATTTTTCTGACTGGATCCTACTCGATCTAATGTCTGACACAACCTGTTTTGAGATTAACTATTTTTTTTTCGTGATTCGACCCGATCCGATTCAAGGTCAGTCTGATTCGACCCGAGATCGAGCCCAATCCGACTCGGATACTGATACCAACACAGACCAAATATAAGTCAAAAGATACAAAAGAAAAAGTTTATTAAGTATCATTTTTTTCGTTTAGTAACTGTGAATGATAAAGTATCTGAGAATTCCATAGTATTTATAATATCGTTCATACGAATTGTTTTGACTTGTTTCGGTCTTGCTCCTAAATCTGCATTACGTTGAATACACATATGTTGATCGTTCAAATTTTTAAGAATTGTGGCTTAACACCCATGATGTGTAAATTTCCAATATATTATAGTTATTATTGTTTTATTCAATTTGAAAAGACTGTCATCATCTATGAGCAAAGGTTTTTCTTTTTATGAATGAATAAATGAAATAGTTGGCGGCTTCGGTTGAGTTAAATCTAGTGAAGATGGAACAGCTGCAGCCATAATAATAGAATTTCAGTTATATAATAGTTCATTATCCGACTCTTCTAGTTGATCTATATCAGATATTATTCATTATCATCAATACTGGTTATAAATCTAGACCAGCAAAATTATAAGAAAAACGACAATAAACTATAGGTGCTTAGAATCAGAATTTACTGGAGACATCACTTTTTTCGATATTTTCCAGGTTCAATATTTTTCCTCTAATATCTTTCTTTTCGACCTTTTTTCAGCACACCAATTCCCCAATCTAATCTGTTCATCGACATAAGTGTCAGTTTCTTTTTCCTTTTTCCTCTTTCTCTTTCTTTCATTGATTCATTTTCATCCTCTTTGTAAGTGTTGAGTGCGCCCCTGCGTGTCCACTATATACTTTTTGTTCTCATTCTTTTTCTATACTGCTCAATTCGACAGAGTGATTAGCACAACCCAGTACTGGTTCGTGGTTATGTGCTATTGAGCTTGCTTGACATATGTCTATGAGCAATAGTTTCTAGTGGAGTGACCTTGCCACTGCGTTTCTATCAGAAAGAGGTCAAGTTATGAGCACTCGTGCAAAGAAACATAGATAAAGATAAATGGACTGATAGATAGTTAAGGCTAACTTTCATCTTTTTTCTCCACATCATCGTTGTGTTGCTGAATAACCTTCAATCAATTAGCAACTGAGTAACTTTCTTTTTCTATCAAGAGACGAAGAATCTTATATCGTTCTTTCTATAAAAATAGCAACTCAATTCTTCCTATTTTTTGATGACTTACACATTACACAATCAAGAGAAAAAAAAATTTGCACAATAGTAATTGATACTCATTTTAATAACAAAAAGAGAGAGAGCTCGAAAGAAATTGAACGAGCACATTAAGCTATATATAAGTGCACATCTTAGCGACGAGACGGTAAGTTTCATTCACACTCCACAATAACAACATCATCATCAACTAGTGAGATTATCATTCTTGCTATTAACTAGACAGGACAATAAGTCGACACTCTATTGATTTGGATGCTTCAAAGACGACAAAACAGTACGTTAGACAAAATACATTAATTGCAGAAATGTTTTCGGCGAAGGAAGCATGCACTGTTGGATAGAATTGTATCGCACACACGTTTTTATTTCTCAGTCCTTGTCCTATTGGAAGAATGGCGAATGATAGGGAAAATGAGGGGGAGAACATAGGAATGGTAATGTTTGTTAGCCAAACGACAAATAGACATTTGTCTCTTCCATTTAAACGGTATACAAGAAGGAGATAGATAGATATATAGAACGATAGAACGCGATCAGGAAGCACATTCTTTACTATTAGAACATATAGACAAACACGCACACAGTTTTGTCGTTCTCATCATTATCTCTATATAAAAAGCAATAACAAAGAAACTGCCATTATAACAATTGTACAAATGAGAGAGTAGGTGAGTGATTGTGGTTTATAAATTGCTAACTAGAGGACTACTAAATTGTATCTAAATCCTTTTTTATTTGTGTATGAAATAAACTCTCGCTTTTCTTTTCTCGTTGTTATGATGCATAGAACGATAAACGAGGGATAGTGTATATGGCAAACATCAATTACATAATGGATAGATGTATAAAGCCGGCCACTTTCTTCTTCATCATCTTCTCTTTTTGTCTTATATGCTGTTCATCTATCGATGATATGTCAACAATGTGGACACGAAAAGAAAAAAAGAGGATTAGAACAAAGAAAATGGCTATTTTGTTGAGTGTGTATATGTGTGTATGTTTGCGGTCAGTCATGTGGGCGCTTCCATTGTCATGCTTTGACATGCAAAGCTTTTTTTTCTTTTTTTGGAACTGCCCCTGGCAGATAGCCTCAAGTCGTCTCATTTAATATAATCGCCACTACTTCTCTTTAGTTGACATTCTGCTTTTTCCTTTTTTTTTCTCTCGTTTATTTTAACTTTATTGCATCATTCCAATTGCAAGACGGCAAGGTAGGCGAAAGCAATGCATGAAAAGAAAGTAAAAAGTGAATAAAATAGTTGTAGCTACAAAGAACACAATGCCATAAACGATGCAGAAGAGCGAGCTATCGTCGTTTTTATTGTCGTATGTCTGCATAGCTTTCAAGAGAATAAGTGATTAGAGTAAGTCAGTCTCAAAAAGGTTTCAAATGTTGTTATTCGTGTTTTTACTGTTGTTTCTGATCATACTTCAATGATGAGAATATATCACCATAGTCTAGAGTCTAGACTCTATATATATGGTACCTTCAACGTGTGTAAGCAATTAAATACAGTTGTATGATTCGAGCTTAATACATATTACTAGCTGTGGTCGAAATCTTTCGTTCTTTCTATTGTTCTCGTTTGTTCATTGAACTATATGCACTTGTACACACATATAGTCGAGCCGATTGACATTCAAGCATAAGTGAGAAAGGGAGAGAGAGAATTTCGCTCACGCTCGTCCGCTCTTTTTTTTTTCTTCTCTTTCTTCTCTCTACACAAACATCTGTGCCAGTATATATGTGTCCTAGAATAGAACATTTCATTTTAGTCATGGCCAATGTGTAGCAGTCGACGAAAATGAGTATTTTACTCAAATGGAAGAATAAACTTCACGATCCATCGTTATATGAAGTAAAATTCGAATTTTCTTTCTTTTTCAACATCAAAGTTATTTATATTTACTAGACGAAGATTCGTGAGTTTGACGAACGTGTATCAACTCTCAAAAATGAAAATGTCGAATTACACAAACGTATCGATCAGCTTGAGGCTTTGGTAAATAAAATATAATAAAATATATTTATATGTTCCCCTGTGTTTCTTATCAATTTTTCTTTCTATTGATCAATTAATAACAGTGTACAACAAGTGTAGACACTCAACAAAGACGTTTCCTTGAAGAACATATACGTCAACTTGAACAAGAAAATGGACGACTATTTGCTGAAAATCAATGTCAACGGCAAGAATATGAGCGATTTTTAGATCAATTAACAACAATGGTTTTAAGAACAGCAGTCTTGCAAGAAGTAAGAAAGAAAAAAACAAAGAATGATGATGATTAAGATTTGCGTAATTCTCTTTCTTTTCATTTATCCTTAGAAAAGGTCAGTATAAATCTTATCAAAGCATTCTTTATTTGCTGAAAAAGAAAAGAAAAAATCTGCGGCTAATTACAGTAGAAGACTTTGATTTCATAATCCGCCTTTTGGTCATTTCCTATCTTGACAATAGCTGCAAAAGTAGACTACGGCAGCATATGTCCCGAAACAATTATTCCTTTCGTTTTCTTCTCTTTTCTTTCTTCTTGTTGTTGATGGTGAATGATGTGAGGTCAGCAATCATGGATAGTAGTTACTATTTCTGTCGAGAGAACAGATGAACAGCGAAAGCAGATGTGACAGAGTAAAAGAAGAAATCACCGGACATTGCTTCTTCTTCATCTGAACATTTTCATTTCTTATATGAAAATGGTCAGTCGACCGACAACATCATCAGAAAGCTTTATTGTAAGTAAACTGTATTTACGCTTCCTTGCATTTCATGAATCTATAAAAGGTAGTTGAATATTGACAGTTTCAAGAGATGATTGAATAAATTGAAAGAAAAAAGAAAATTAAGGTGGTGCCAAATTTCATTAACACAACTTAAAAGACAATGAAGACGTACTTCCAGATGGTGTTGTACGAGACGGTTCAATGATCATTTCACTCGAAATGTCTGTCTGTCTGTCTGTCTTTTCTTGTCAGACGATTTCCGTCCATAAACTTACATTATGTCAAAGGGTCAACATACGACTCAGATTACCGTCTATTATATAGACAGGTCATACCATTTTTCTTTAAATATATAATCAGGCACAGCACATATACAGCTGATGATCAAATTCAATGTTAATTTTCCTTCATGGGATTTTTCTTTTTCTTTTTTTTTTTTTTATACCTTTTTTTATCGTCAGTTCACCTCTTTTACTGACCTTCGTTCTTGATGATGATGGACTCTATAGTAACTACAGCTCAAAGCATACATACGAGAGTGACACACGCATCTAATATTATATTAAAGTAAGGAGGGACGAGCGAGCATATACATTAATGACGCAACTCTCATTCATTCATCTCACAAAAAAAATTATGCATATTTATATATATATATATATACATATATATATACATGAAAGTTGAAAAATGAAAAAAAAAGAGCAACTATTATTAGATGATCTTATCTATTGATTGCAAAGAACTTGTTTATTTAGAATATTCGTGAAGAATGTGCATCAATATATCATGTTATTGAACGGCTATCAACATTAACAACTGATGCAATAGAAGCTAAACGTTCAAATCAAGTAATCATTAAACTAAATAAAAAATTTGGAAAATTTTTGCAATGTCTTTTTTTCTTTAATGTTAGATTGGACATCGAACAAAGCGTTTGCGAAGTTTATCATGGGAGAATTTAAAACAACCATATGAACTTATCTCTAATTATCAATTATTGTCAACATCACCTGAAACTACTGCTGAATTTTTTCGACATTTATATCAAAACCGTTCATCATTATCATCGTCATCATCATCATCGTGTTCATCAGCAACAACTCATTGTTCATTTTCAACATCGGGTAGTTGGACACTTGATTTAGTAAGCGAGTCATAGACATGATTTTCAAAACAAATTTTTTTCATAAAATTCATTCAATACTTGTTTTATTAACATAAATGACATCCGTCCGTTTTTCTTTGACACCATCTATGATGTAATCTCATCATTAAGAACAAATACTATTTTAATAGATACTCTTTATAGCTTCGGGTCAAATTCATCTTGAACGGAAACAGGAAGAATTATATGCTTTCTTTTTAAAAGAATATTGAAAAAAAAATATTTAGATATAATTTATTTTCTAGTCATTATACAATAAAAATAGAAAAATTCAATCACCAATACTTCCAATATCAAACGAATTGATAGGTAAAATTTTAAGATGGAAAAACAATGTATCATAAATATTTTTATTTTTCTATAGACTCACAACCAAAACAAAAAGAAGAAGACAAACAACAACAAGAACAAGCAACAATTCTTCAACGTTCAGAAACATTTGTAGTATCAAAACTACCACAAGAACAATCATCTTCTACTACATCTGATGTAAAAATAATGACAACTAACAATGAACGTAATCTAAATTCAAATGTTCAACGTTGTCCTGTAACACGAACAATAGCAGCTACAACATCAAGTGTTGTTCGTCCTTCACGACTTCCTTCTCGTTGTTCAACTAATCGTAATATAAATGTTAATAATTCTTCAAATGCAAAAACTCAACCATTAAATAATAATAATAATAATAAAAATAATAATAATAATAATAATAATAATTGTCGTTCGTTATCTGTAAATAAAGCTTCGAAATTACCCGTTAGAACAACAACCTCATCAACAAAACAGGTACCATCAATAAAAAAATCAAATATTTCAACACCTGTTACGACAACGACTAAAAAAGATTCAACTTTAACATCAGCTCGAGCTGTTACATCAGTTAATAATACAACGACAAAAAAGACAATTTATCCAGTAGCAACATCAAAACCGTCAGCTGTACAAAATTCATCATCTAAATCTCGATCTCGTTCTATAACAACAGTCAGTAATAATAATAATAACAATAAGAATACTTCTATTCAACCATCATTAAATAAACATACAAGAACAACACCACCAGTTGTAAAAAAATCCACAATAGAAACAGTTATATCATCAAAAAAAATAGTTAAACCAATTGAAGAAAAATCTATTTGTCCTATTGAACAAATGAATTCAACATCAAGCGAATCAAGTATTGAAGAAAATCAACAAAGAAATAAATTATTAACAACTATACAAGACGAAGGATATTCAACATGGTCATCATCTGATGTTAAAGATGATATACGATCAAATAATAATTTAAAGAAAAATGTAACCGACGAACGGCGACGAAATACAGGACTTGTAAAAAATTGGCTTGATACATCAAATAAACGATGTTCTAGAAAACCGGTGAAAGAAGGTATAGTTGTTGTTTTTTTTCCAAGTATCTTTATTAAAAATTAATTAACTATATTATCTATGATTAAAAGATTTTTGTTTTGTATTTTAGTTGATATTGATAAGCTCGAAGAATTTACTCGAGAATTATCTGATACTTCATCCATTATTTGTCCATTTGTACGAAATCGTTGTTCGAATGGTATAATCATTCCTCTTGCATCTACAAAATTATTATCATCACCTCCACCACTTGCAGATAAAGATATTTCACTTGATAGTCTTGATGGTGCTGATAGTCCTCAACCAAAAGATCAAACTATAACATCATCATCATCTTCATCCTCGACAACATTTTCTCGTTCTGAAACATTTGAAAAACTTGTAATGAAAGATACATTACCAATAATAACAGATGATTTAGCTGATTCAACAGATTCAACATGTTCAGATCTAAATCAATTATTTAATATATCAGAATATATTGAAGATAATTTTATTGATCAAGATGATAATTGTAATCAACAATCATCAACATTTAATACATCAATAAAAAATCAAATTCAAATAAAACGACAACCACAAAAACGTCTTATGTTTCCGGGTTTATTAAATCGTTTAATATTTCTTCGTCGTGTTTTATCCGATTCAGATTTAAGACAAAAATTATGTTGTATTAGTGAAAATGAAATAAAATTTCATGTATATCATTCAAATACAATAAATGAACATTCAATTGAACTGAATTTAATGAATACATATGGTTCAGAAAGTGAATTACATGTTTGGTCGCATGATTGTGCTGAACAACGGCGATTTGCTAATGAACGACAACAACAATCATTAATAACATCAAATCAATCTCATTCAAAATTATCTCATATTGAACGAATGGTAAAAATATTAAAAAAAAACACAAATTTTTATTGAATTTCCTATTTCTCTTCTAAGATACGAATGACTCTTGACGAAAATGAAGAAGATGAAACAAATTTATTTGAATCCGATAATGAAGAATATGATCAACAATTAGCACTTGAACGTCAAACATTATTACAACAAATATACGAGTATCCATGGTTATTACAAGATGATGATATTGATCAAGCAACGATATATTCATCACCAAATAGTGAACAACCATTATTATCACCTTCACCTGATATTGTTGTTCCATCACATAATCCAGATTTTTATCAATTATGTGCATTAACAAATAGTAGTTCATTTGCAACATCATATGGTACAAATTCTAGACATACAACACCACCCATAGCTTCATCTGTTTTATAACATTTTTTTCCTTTCGTTTCTGTTTTTTTTTGCTTTTTCTTCGAGTGTATACAATAATTTTTCTTTTGCTTTTAATATAAAAAAATAGAAAGATATACTTCGTCACTCTTATTTATGTTTTACGAAGTGCTTGTTTAAGTCGAGCTGTATCAATCCATGTAGGTCCTTTAAAATCTAAACATTTTTCTTCTTCTTCATTGAGTATTGGAGGTGGTTGAACATGCATATGAGTGCCTTCGATATGTAGACTAGTCATCGGTGAAGTAATAGTCTGAAAGAAAAAAAATTAACAAATAGAAATCCTTGGAAATTATGATATACAGGAAACTATAGAAATTCTGTGTTTTGGAATTCTATAATGATCAGTAGAGAATATGCTTCATAGTTTACTTACATCTTCATCTTCAATTGTAGGCAAACGTGGCGTATTCTGATCTAATTCATCTATTATTTTTTTAATATAGTAAAATAAATAATAATAAATTTAAATTTACAATCGATTAACTTACTAAACAGTTGTTCGAATGTTTTTTCACTGACATCACTACGTATTGTCAATTGTCCTAAGTCAACAGCAAGTAAAGAATTATTTGCAATATTTGTTGTCATATCATCTTGGAATATTTCCGTAAGGAATGTATTTCTATTTAAATAGAAAGAAAAGATTATTAGAACTTTTTCTTTTAATTGATTTGGAAATATACGTAAAAGCTGTTGTATCAGTTAAATGAGCAGTATTCAGTTTTTCATTGATAGCAAGATTTGTTTCTTCTAATGCACGAATATGTTCTTCAAGTTCAATAAGTTCTTGTTCTCGCATAGAAAGCTTCAATATTGAAAATGGAAAAAATATGAAATTTTAATGATTAATAAATAACATCAAAAAAAGAGAAATACCTCATGAGTCATATATTGATTTTCACTTAACATTTTTTTTGTAAATCGATCAAGACCCATTGCAACACGTTCAGTAGCTGCTCGAGTTTTTAGTTCAATTTTATCTTTTGCCATTTGTGTCAAGGCTAATCGTTCTTCCTTAGTATTTTTTTCCAAATATTCTACATAAAATAATGATATAGTTTTTTTTTAAACATTTGCATATGAATAAAAGTAATAAAGAATAAATACTTGATAGAACAACATAATTATCTATCATATAAGCAAGTTCACGTTCAAGTGATTGAATAGCGCGTTGTTCTTCAAGTCGTGTTACATCACGATATTTCATCCATTGTTTTATTTTACTTCGTGTTTTGAATATTTCAACTTCAACATGAAACATTTCATCATGAATATCTATTGAACAAAAAAACACATAAATAAATATTTTAGAATGATTTTGTTTTACCTCTCAGTTCAGCTTCTTCTTCTGCAGCTACATCCATTTTTTCATGTAGAGCTGCATTAACCTGAACATAAAGAGAAAATTATCAATCAAATAATAATATCATACTTACATCTTCTTTACCAATTTTAGGATAATTAATATTTTCTTTATCATATTGTAAAGCATCATTGACAAGATTTTTCATCGTTGTTTCACATTCTTCCCGTAGATGTGCATCTCGTCCTTTTAATGCTTCATTTTCTTCTTCGAGTTTATGTACTCGAAAACGCCATTCTTCAAGTTCTTTGTCAATTATAGAAATTCTTTATTAGAAATAAAAATAAGTTCAAATTGAAAAAAATATTTCATTGATGAATTAGACAAACTTGTATTCAAGTAAAGCTTCATAGACATTTTCGCCTGTCTTCTTCTTTTTTTTGCCACCTCCTTTCTTCTTTTTCTTTTCAGCCATAACTACTCTTTCTGCTTCTGAGTTTGTCAAGATGGTGACTGAAAATTTTGATCGTTCGTGCGGAGAGAAAAAAAAGAAAAAGTCACTTTTTTGTCGCGTGTACACATGTAAAAAAAGGCGGACATGAAGCCAAGCAAAACCCAAGGCAATTCCTCCTTGAACAATGATTGGATGGCGCTATTAAGAAATGAAAGTATAAATTAGAATTAAAATAAAACTTTGTTTCAGAAAAATAATGAAAAGTTTAAAGAAAGCTCAACTAATTCAAAACTTTTATAATATCAATAAGAAAAGTTAATTGAACCATTTTGACGCAGTCACTGTTACAATGGTCTATTATAAAGAGAAATTTTCAAAAGTAGACATTAAATTAAAAAGTTTTTCAAGGAATATTTCTTTTTAAGATCTTTACAATAAAGATGGAACTGGTATTAGTAGGAATTTCAGACCAGTCGATAATCGGTAGATCGGAGAACGATCAGTCTATCTTATCTGTTAGAGAATAAATAATGAAATTATGATGAACGTTGAGTATATCCAATATTACTATCCAAAGATAGAAGAAGAAGATACAGATTGGCCGGTTATGAAAATCCCGACCAGTTCTATCGCTGGTACACATATTCGTTGTCTGGATCTGTTCACTTTGCACATAAAAAGAAAACGAAGTCAACAAAATTTCAATTATCCAGGTGAAATGATATAAGTACATATTGACTGAGGAGTTATTTTGCTATCACCTTCGCCTTCTTAGTATTGACGGACAACATTCATTTAATACATTACTAGTACTAAGGATTATATTGTCATTTTTCTTTAATACAATGTTTCTCTTCTTCATCATAATATACCTAAGAACATCATCGTCTCTTCTTCTTTCAACAGAAAATCGTATTTCTACTCGAAATATAACATGTTGGAATGGATCATCATCTACATTATTATTTAATTGTGAAGCATGTCTTGTTATTGCACGCAATTATGAAATTAGAACATCACTTTCATTGACTGGTTCTGGACCATTAGGTATAACTTATCAATGTTTACATGCTCAAGAAGTTGAAGCCTATCATGAAAATCTTGTTCGTGAATGTCAAAATTTTCCACGCGGTATATTAAATGGTTATGATGATTTTTGTGTTGCTTCACCATATTCTAAACTACGAGGTTCTTATCGAGCTTGTATGTGTGTTACAAATGCATGCAATTATAATTATACAGAATGTGTTCAACGTGGTAGTCCTTATTGGAATCGACAACCACCAGTATTTAGTAATACTATTGCTCAACTAACAGATCGAGTTAAATGCTTTCGCCCATATGAAGATTATAGACAATCAGCATTTTCTAGTTTAACAGCACTTTGTTCATCTAATGATAATGAATGTAAAAATTTTTTATTTGATCATGGTGTTTTATGTGCGATTAGTGTTGATCGAACAAATTACATAACACGACAAACTTTACCACCATCAGTTTATTTGGCGCATTTAATAAAATATAAAACAATGTTATGCAAGTCATTTACATGGACATCAAAAAGTATTTATTTTACACAATGTCAACAAGATGAAACAGTATGCATGTGTGCTATTGATGGATGTGATGAAGATTTAGAGACATGTCAAACAAGTAAAGCAACATATATTTATTATTATCATTATTCATTTTACTTTTTTATTTTACTGATACTAAATATGTACTTTTAAAATGACAGAATAATAGAGAAACAAATTGGTTTTTTAACTAATCTAATAAAAACTCGTAATGCAATTATTTTATTACTTATAATCAAATCAATTTGTCTATAAAAACATTTTCAAGGATAAATATATTTGGTTACATAGAAGGTTCTTCACTTTTCAATCAGACATAACAGAATCTTTACGATTAACTATAAAAATATCTTATAGATTCATTTGTTATGAAGACCTTGTAGTCACATCAAATGCTAGTACTTGAATTTCATTCTTCCATGTACTGCATCACATACTACAAATCACATGTAATTTACCTATATTCGAGTATCTTTTAATTCTTTGTCAATTGCTCATCGATAGGAACTTTAATGGCAGTATCATTGCTCGCTATCATACTATTCATTTTCTCAAACTTTGCTAAATTTTCAATCGCTATATGAAATAAAAATCTATATTTCAAATCAAACAAGAAGTTGAAGCTCAAAACTTACAGAAAGGTAAATGAGAATTTTTGAATGGCGAGAAAATCAACCTTGATACATGCAATATTTTATGATGAAAAAAAAAACTACAAAAGAAGAAAGAAATTAATAGCAGTATAAGTGTGTTCATGACATATATTTATTTCTTCAGCCTTGAAAGTGCGAATGTGGATGGGTGCATCTTCTTTCTACCGTTCCGCCCACTTGTCTACAGCTATACTCTCAGTTATGATGAATTAGAAACTATAACAAAAATTTTTACCAGTGATGTAACAAGTTGTAAATGTACCTTGACAGAACAATAAATGATTTAATCAAACAATGATGCGTTCAAGGAATGATTATCTCTATTATTTTATTCTACTTATTTGAATAAAAAAACTAAAATAAAATGCTCGTGTTGATTTTTTAAAATCAGAGAAAGTTACTAATATCAAATCGGGAATGATGGTTAATGATCTATATGAAAGACAATTGTGGAACCAATCACAGTACCTATGAAATGATATAATAACATTTGTAAATACAGTTGATTTCTGATGATCGTGTTGTGTGAAATACTCTTAGCAATTACTTAGTTTCCTTCGATACTTACATAAAATAATGTTTAGTACTTTGATATTATTAAACATCTAAATTATTTCTCATATTAATGAAATCATATTCAATCTCATCTCGTAACTTCTATCTTGACTTCGTACTTTGTATCCCTCGCCTTATATTCCTCTCTTGTAACTTCTATTATATACCTCGTATCTCATATTACTGCATGATTTTACTCAATGCATCAAACGTGCGTCGATGATTCAACTTTTTCACTATACATCTCGTATGATTTACAACGATATGATCGTACCCATCCAGTACATGACCATAGGCGACTATTGTATAAGTTGACATTTTTGTACAATATTCGCACGTATAGAACACTATTTTTTCTGTATCTCACAGTGAAGATATTCTACATTCGTGCTGTTCGATCTAGGTAGTGCCATCTACACTGACCGTCTGTTTGATTTTTTCTTTTAATTTCTCTTATCTCACTATAACTTTTGAATGCTTTAGATAATAGCTATGCTAACCATCATTTTTTCTTTGGTAAGCTCAATATGAAAACTAATACTGTAAATTGACGTTTGTTTTTCATGCTCTATAAAGTGATATAATGATCATGTGTATCGATTAGTTTATGCAGAGTCAGACAAATACGTGCGATAGCTACAATTCTCATATCACATTGACGACTTTTGATACTTTTGCATTTAAAAATCAAATTTCAACTAGAAATATTTATGATTAAAAGCTGTTCTGGCTCATCCTTTATTGTTGTTTTCAGAAAAAAATATTCTCTCCTAAATTTGATTGTCATCGAAAAGTTTTAAGAAGATGACCATGTCGAGAGTATGGTAAAAGTCGGTATTCATCATTTTCTTGTTGAATCCTCATTAACCTTCAATTTTACAGCAAAATGAATACCAGATTCAAACATTATATCATATACAATTCAGCAAAAAGAATTTTCCAAGAGAAATGCATCCCAGATGAATCGTATCGATTTTTTCATAAAAAAATTATTCTTACTGATTTCGAATATGATATTCATTTTGTCGTGAAGGTGAAACTTGATGAAAATTCAATAGAAAAATGATCGAGGTCAATTTTTATAGCACTCTCAACGTGGTCATCTTCGTAAAATTATTCGATGAGAATGATTCTTAGGATAGAATAGATGTTTCTGAAAATAATATGGATTGATAGGACATGAGCCGGTGTAGTTTTTAATTATTAAGGATTTCGATGGCAATTTTGTGTTTTTAAATACAGAAGTATCAAAATTCACCTTTGTGGTATAAGAATCGTATCTATCGTACGAATTTGTCTGATCCTCCATAAACTAATCAAGAAACAGGATCATTACGTCATATTCATAGTTATTATCCAAGGCATTCAAAAGCTATAGACTTCCTGAAACTATTTAGTCTTCGAAAATGTTTTTCGCATTGATCCAAAAAAAGGAAAAACACAAAAATGTGCATCATTTCATGCCATCTTTCCAATCTATTGAAAGTGAAACCTAACGAGCTGGCAGATTTACGCTCTAATGCAGCCGTACCCTTTTCTTTGGTACTTCTACAACATTGTTTTGTAATAAAACATAAGTCAATGTATCATAATAATGATATAGATAATTCTCATCCTGTACATTAGTTATACTATCATATTCATTTTCTATTTCACATATATATTTTTGTTTTTCTTTACAGTATTAGTCAGTTCAATTAATATTGTTTTCCCAATCGTAATCACTGAATGAAATGCCTTTTGAAGACATTAGTTTTTTTTTTTTTTTGATAATGTAAAACTTTGCATATAGAAGTAAATCTCTTAGCTTATATACAAGAAATCAGAAAAATAAATGACACAATTACCAACAAAAAAGAAAGAGAGAAAATACAGAAAAACATGTTTATTATTAAAACAAACTTCATAAAATCTTTGATTACACTCTCAACTGAAATGTTTGTCTTCTTTAAGCGTTATCAGCACTTGTCGTTTTCTTTTCACCAGCTGATTTAGATGATGTCTTTTTTGAAGATGAACTTGTTTCACCTTGTGATGTTGATCCACTACCACCTTCAACTTTCTTTGGCAATAATATCTATAAGAAAAAAGTTCATCAAAATTCATTTTTTAATTAAGTCTTCAATGGATTAATACCTGTTGAATATTAGGTAATACACCACCTTGTGCAATAGTTACACCAGCTAATAGTTTATTAAGTTCTTCATCATTTCGAATGGCTAATTGAAGATGTCGTGGAATAATACGAGTCTTTTTATTATCTCGAGCTGCATTACCAGCTAATTCCAAAATTTCGGCTGAAAGATATTCGAGAACCTAGTCAAAAAGATATTTTTATTTTATTTCGTCAATCCCACACATCATCATTTTACTTACAGCAGCTAAATATACTGGAGCACCAGCACCAACACGCTCAGCAAAATTACCACGACGAAGTAAACGATGAATACGACCCTATATGAAATGAAAACACACAATAAAGTAAAACGTTTGAGTATCTCTTAAAACAGTATAATCAATTCCTCAATGTTCTTCTTGAAAAATATTTTTAACGAGACTCTTTAAATGACACTAACAAAATAAAATCAATACATACCACTGGAAATTGAAGACCAGCTTTTGATGATCGTGTTTTGGCTTTAGCACGAGCCTTGCCACTTCCTGATACTTTACCACGGCCTGACATTTCTTGCTTTTGTTTTGCGTATGTAAAATGAATATAAACTTGGAAGTTTCGTTTCTATCCTCTATATATAATGCCCTGTGAACGTGCAACTTTTTCTCAATATGATTCGTCGATTTCATCCAATCAGATTATTGTTATTGCACTATCTGACAAACAATCAATGAAATTCATGTTAGCCAGCCACTTTATATGGTTGCAACCATATTGACATTTTTTTCCTTTTTCGTTCTGTAACCAATGGGATTGATGCATATGTGTCTATATAAAGGCGATCGTTAGCTGACAGTAGCACTTCATTTCATTCTTCAAAAAATGGCTCCTCCAACAACAATCAAGTCGCCAAGCAAAGGCTCAAAGAAGATGATTAGCAAACAATCGAAAGGAGGTCTAAGTTCTAGTAAATCAGGTGCTAGTGGTGATAAAAAAGTCAACAGACGTAAACGTAAGTTACATTCGATTGTATTTTTAAAGATTTTGTGATAAAAAAAAAGAATATTTGTATAGGCAAAGAAACATATTCAATTTATATCTACAAAGTTTTAAAGCAGGTAAATTTATCATTTTAATAAAAGAATAAAATCAAATAATTTATTTGATTTAGGTTCATCCTGATACAGGTATTTCAAGTAAAGCAATGTCAATTATGAATAGTTTTGTTAATGATATTTTTGGTAAGTTGAAAGATATTTTTTTTCTTTTTGCATTGCGAAAAACAATATTTGAATAATTTTTGTATAGAGCGTATTGCGGCTGAAGCTTCACGATTAGCTCAATATAATAAACGTCAAACAATTTCATCTCGTGAAATCCAAACAGCCGTTCGACTATTATTACCTGGTGAACTTGCTAAACATGCTGTTTCAGAAGGCACAAAAGCTGTGACGTAAGTTAATTCTTTTGTAAAAATACTATTACTCATCTGCTTCTTTTTTCCCATCTTTCTAGGAAATATACAAGTCAAAAATGATTAAACTAAGCCGATTCATAGAAAAGATTATTTTGTCGTTGTTGTTGTTCTTTCACGTAAATTTTCTAATTATCCTTGATGATTTGTTCTTTTATGTAAAATAAAAATAAACAAATAAAAAAATAGATTAAAATCAAGTAATAAATTATGTATCATTGATAATTGTTTTCCCAATAATATCGTTGAATGTACTAATAGATCAATGACTATGTTGCGTAGGTAAATTGAAAGGTAAATTTGATTGATGTAGTTCAATAGCTGATGCTTATATAGGATATTGGGAAGGTTTTCTGTATTTAACAAATATCTAAAGTTCAATAAAAATAATATGGATGAACTTTTAACAATTTTTTCATAAAATCTCCGATTTTTTATTGAGATTGAAGTATTACCTGTGAACAACTATAACAAATTGTTTTTGCTTTTGGATTCAATTCAGTGTTTTTATTGGTTTCATTTTCTATAGAAGTTGATGATAATTTAATTAAAGTTTGCATTCGAACAGGAAACAAATGTTTCGATGATGGTGGTAAAAAATTCGTTAATGGACATTTTCTACATATTTTCTGTTGACAAATATAACAAGTAGAATAATTCTTAGAATAGAAAAAAGATGGTATTAAAGACAATAAATTAATCTTTTCTTGACATTGAAAACATAAATCATTATGAAAGATTTTAAAATATTGTTTGTCTGTATTAAACATGCGAGTACTAAGAACTGTTTGAGCAAGAACAGAACGAATATGACATATTTCAGCAAATGTTAGCCAAAGAATATTATTAGGATTTTGATTAATAAGATTTATATCATCATTTTCATCAGATGATGATTCTAATAAACATTGAATAACATCAACTCGTTTTCGACCAGATGGATTTCGTCGTTTATCATCTTCATCTTCATCAGTATCAATTATTGGTTTAATAGGTTTTCGAAAAGAATGTGTTCGAGTAGAGAAATTTTTCGACATAAGTGCTCTTTTCTTTTTAGCATTTAAAATGACATGAGAAAACAGTTATTGATAATGAAAAATCTCCATTTTACGAGTTTTTTGAAGTAAACTATTCATCGCCATCTGTTGCTATTCATGTTCTCTCTTTATTTATTGTCAATAAGAAAAAAAAACAAGTTAGTACTAATGGAAAATAGAAATATGCTCCATTTAATCTTTTCATGTAATATAAGTCTACATATGTTTTAGTTTAAGAGGGATAGAAATTTCGAACATCACAATATAAAATGAAAGACAAAAAGTCAGTTAGAATTTGAAGACATTCTTCTCCGTAAAGCCAAGATCTTTGAGAAGACCAGTCAATTCACCCTAAAATAGAAAGATATTTGTAATTGTAGTTCTTTCGTAGAGCATGTTGTTTTCAAAAATATCAAATGACATGCAAATCTTATATTGTCTTGATTTGTGTTAGAAAATGTCAAATTTTTTTTTCACTAAATAAATGATCGATTTGGTATTTACTGACTGAGATTCATTCAACAAAAAAATTTCATGAAGACGTTTGAAATAATGCACGGAGAAAAACTAATTCCTAGTTTTTAACGAACAAATTTATCCATTATATAAATCTGTATCATTTGTTCAATATCTTTTTTAAAAGCGTTTATTTCTCACATTGATCAAAAGGGAACTGAAATTCTTTTTTTCATGACTGAAAAGTCGAAATAACGTATTATAATGATACCTGTTTAAAATCTTTGGTCTTCTCTCCACTAAGTAATTTCATAAATCCAGGTGGACCGCAAACCATAACCAAAAGATTTTCATCGTCTTTCTTAGCTGGCATTGGTGATAATTTTTTGAACATTTTAGCCGTAATATATCTAAAATATAAAAGAATATGATTGACATAATGATAAAATATTTGCTTACCCAACTTCGCCTTGCCATATTTTTGCTTCATTTTTAGTTACTTTATCAACTATATAATGAACTTTAAATCGATCTGGATATTTCTCAGTCAATTTATCCAAATGTTCTTTTAATAAAATATCATCTAATGATACATTAGCAAATAAAAATGTTATTTTTGTTTTATCATTTGGATTGAAAAGAACTTCTTCAATTACTTGAATCTTAAAAATTAGATTAAAATAATAAATCGTTTTAAAAATAAAGAAAAAACAGAAATAAGTTTGATCTCACCATTGGAGTTATACCAGTTCCACCGGCAATTAAAACAAGATTTTCAAATTTATTTGGTTCATATGGATATTTTGGAACTATAAAATAGAAATATTTAAGAAAAAGAATCTGTAAGATTTGGTCTTTTTACTAGGTCCTTTAATTTCAATTATTTCACCCTTTTTCATGCCATGAACATGTTTACTCATGATGCCTTTTGGATAATTTTTAATAACAAAGTCTAAGTGACCAATTGTATTGGGACGTGATACAGGTGTATATGGTCGAACAACTTCTTTGCCATCGATATCGGCTTTAAATAAAACACATGAAGCAGTTTTACCATTATATTTTGCTGTAGGATTATCAAAATCAAATGTAAATACATTTGTATTATGATTATATTGCTTAATATCCGATAATTTAAATGAACGAAATGCATTTGGATCGAGTGCATCTGGTGCTAGATGTGTTTGTGATGCACCACCTGACTTTTTAGTTTCAAAAGTAAGCTTTTGGCCAGGTCCATAATAGAGTAAATATCCGGCGCCGCCAACTGCTAATGTTGCGCCTAACCAAATCCATTTTTTTGATGCACGAGCGGCTGCTGACATATTAACCCACTGATTGAGACACAAGGACTATGACAAATCAAATGAACCTGGTATTCTCGAAAGTTTTTGATTTGCTCGTTATGATTTCCAATTAACTGGACCGAAACATCAAATTAACGACATCTATCCAAGTTGTCGTTATATTATTATCCAACTTAATTTGATTCATATCAATTGTTTCTCTAATAAACACTGAAAAGTGTTAGGAAAAAAGTTTATCGGTGAGTCAATGCTTCATATTATTTTCAACAAGTTCGATTCATTAAGAGATGGTTCACAAGAAAGAAACAATATGTGCACGATGATCGAATAGAGATAAATATCAAGCAACAAAGATGTGTGGGCGAGGGGGTGAGGGGGGAATGAATGGATGAGTGTCTCGCAATCTTACAGACACAACCATCACACTTTGAAAGTTCGCTTTGTGAGAGTTTTTCAGGCAAACTTTCGACTACCACATAAATTATAAGCAAATGGACTCCCTAGATAAGAAATTATGGGTCTGGAAACTGTAGTTCAATTATTTTAACAATGTATCTGTCTGCCTATGAGTATGACCTTCTGAAACACAGTTTATGAACATCTATCCACTGAATCATGCATTTTTTACTATTGTATGGGTTTGAACAGGTTTCGCTTTCGTTTTCTTCTTGAACATTTCAAGATTTTGAGTTAATGCATGAACTAAATTCAAATTTAATTCAAACTCGAAGAAAATAATATCTCGCATCTGACAGCGATAGTGTTGACTCACATCAATTGACAGTTTCGGATCGATACAGTGTGCAATCAGCATTCAAAGGAAAAGCATTTATTGATTAAAAGAAGAGATTATGGGAGAAATCCGTAGGTATGAAAAAATTCGTCACATTCGAATTAGAATTTTATTTATTCGGTTTCAAACGAGATAACTGTATCGCAGCTGGATATGGATATTTTTTTTATTGTTTTCGACTTCTTAAGTTATTACATAAACTTTCTTGCAATTTTCTTCATTCACGAAGCTGGAGAAGTCCGTTCAAAGAAAACATTTGTCTGAACAAAATTATATGTAACAAATTTTTATACTTTTTTCTGCATTTTATGGTAATCACCGTTCATGTTCAAAACTGAACTAGGAAAACAGTGAAATTATAAACTGTATTATATTCAAATGATTCAATACAATATTTACTACTCACCTTTTCTTTGTTTAATATATTAATACTTACTATTCTGACAACTTCTTTTCTCGCCATTATACCTATGAATGATGATGAATTCATCTCATAAACGATTTCTTGTCTTGTGAGCATATCGAGTAATATGCTTACTGCCGTTTTATCAGGCCTGTGCAATCACATAGAAGTTGCATATCTTCCTTTTCACATGAAATGAAGCTTTATATTATTTCTAAATGAAAAATATAAACAGGTAACAAATGAAAATGTTCTATTTACTTACAGTTTCTCAGTGCATTCACATAAAGAAATAAACTTTAAAATTTATCCTTGATTTCGCGATAACTGGGTCTTTTTTAATTTTATAATAGTAACATAAGTAAATCAAATTCACTGGCTTATATTTCATTTGTATTGAGCGAAGTAGAAAATATGACAGACTAACTGGATCGAATTGCACCGTTAAAATCATATGTATTATTTGTTGGTATTAATTGTGACACTATTGTATGTAATCACTTTTTCATTTTTGCGCTAATTTTCGGCTGCTTTTTTCAATATATCAATTTTATTCAATTTACAAATATTATATCAAAATCGATATAACTTTGAGCAAAAACGGAAGCCAAGAGATGCTTCCACGTAAAATAAACTCAGTATTAACTAGCACATATGAAAATAGCAACCCCGAAACATCATCTGAAGAAGAAATTANTTTTTTTATATCGGAATTTTTTGACGGTTTTATTGTTTAATGGTACCTTCCGTTGTAGGCACCTCTAAATTTTTTTTTCATATTTGAGTTTTCTTGGTTATTTGAAGCTAAGTTGAATGATAATTGTCATGGGCAGGTACAGAATAGTGAATAACGTATATTGCTAATGAAATCACTCAAAATCTTACTGTACGATCTTATATGATCATAGAAGATTGTATTGTTGGATCAAGTACAGAGTTTAGTGTAAGAAAAGTCGCAAGATTTCTGAGACTGCTTTTTTCCGTACGGACTTTTGTACGATCTTATATGATTGTGTGCGACGTTGGACTAAGATCTGATACGATCAGACAAGAACCTATGATTGATTTTATTGTCGAATTTCTCGACCTGGGAAGAGTTGTATGGTCGACACATGCAACTCAACTGGCGACCAATTTACGATCATATACAGTCGTATACGGCACTCGTGCACGACAGTCGTTTATTTTCAACGTATACGTTGATCGTATTTGAACGTATGGCATCGTATACGATCGTCGCATACGACGATCGTATACGATGACCGTTTCTAGACGTATTTCGTCGTATACAACCGTTTACGATCGTGCCTTTTCAACCTGGGAAGACAAGACATAAATATATAGGATGATAGAGAATTTCACGCGCTTTCAGAATATATACTTAGTTTTGTAATAACATGTTCCTATATTCAAAATAAATTTGAAAAGATGAATGAAAAAGAGAAAAAAATATATTCCTGGGAAATCTGATGATGAGGCTGTCTTTGTTGAGCTTGAATTTTTTTCCGAGAACAAACGCAGTTCAAAAGATATTTATAGAGATTTGTAGAGAATTCCACGGGCTATCCGAATCTATAATTACTTTCCCCAAAATGTTGATTTATAGTTATAATTTATTCAAAATACCGAGTCTAACTATTTCTGACCAGGGGAATATATATCAAGCTAACATTCAAGTTTACGTATAACAAGAAAAAACACACCAATTAATGTTTAGATTTAAACTCATGTAAAATAAATTCACAAGGAAGTATCCATTAAAGAAATACACTACAAGATAGAATACAGATGGAGAAATTAAATAATAATCATTATCGAATTCTTATTGATGATAGGATGTAGAAAAAACATTCATTGAAATAGGATGTGTTGAAAGTTCATCTTCAGCTGGATGAAAAACACGTTCAAAAACAAATTTTTTAAATCTATCTGCATAATAATCAGCTTCTACAATTGAACGATCATCAACAACTTCGCGATTTTCCACTGTTTGATATTGTCGTTGCATTACTTTACATATATCAAATCTACATTTATTAAATAAAGTTAATATTAAAATGAACAAAAGTTAACTTACGTTTGTAGTATATCAATAATAGCGAAGAATAGAAGAAGACGTTCACCTTTTTCATTTACTGCTGGAATACCTCTAGAATATGTTTCCAAATAAATGTAAATACTTATGGTAATAAGAAAAAGATTCAAATAGATCGATTGATGAAAATGATCGGTTGACCAAAGAATTACCGAAAGAGAACTTAAGAAAATTCTGACTATCAAGACAACAAAGAAAACTTTTTTCACGAAACACACGTACATCAGTTCTTTCTTTATCTGTAGGTAGACCGTGATTATCAATGATTCTAATCATTGATCATTCAAATTTATAAGAGAAAAGGTCTTCCTGCCCGTGAATTAAGTGGACGTCTTCTTTTAGTTGTTGTATAGTGTTTATTTTTCTGACTATTTTTCTGCATCGCACCAGATTATTGATCGATTCTTATTTTAACTTAATTCACTCTCAAATCGAGAAATTTACAATTAAAATGCATGCTGATCTAAATTATACTTTCTATAAGTAATTATGAAGAGTGTTGATTGATATTTTTATCTCTAATTGTAGCTGATTGAATCGAAACACTTTCTGTTCAATTTGACATTCTCTTAAATTCTAAATTGTTTATCTAACTCAAAAAAGTTTTCATTATTTTAAAATATCTTATTCAAAATTTACTTTTTCATGAACCCTTTGTTCATTTAAACTTACCCAAATTCTTTAGCATTTTCTGTATCAAACGTTGAAATTTCTTTAAAACCTAAACATAATGTTTCAATTGGTTTTCTAAATTTTAACACTAATTTTGGTTTTTCATCTTTATGTTTCTCATTGCGTTGATCAATTTGTTGTGCCATATCAAGAAGAAATGTATCGCGAACAGTACCCAGCAATGATTCAAGTGGCCCAACATGGGTTGGTTTTACTTGATTATCCATATTATGAACAGCTATTTAATTAAAAATAAACAATTAAAAAAAAAGTTAAGGAAAGAATTCATATATATTACTTAAAAGTAATGAATAATCCATAATATTAAGTTTTTCTAAAAAATCTACATCACGTGTAAGAACTTGTTTTAAATGATAATAAACACTTTTCGGTAATTTTAAACCTTGCGGATGTATTTCACAAAAATCATTATCTTTAAATGTTGCTGATGTTTTATGTTTTTCTGTACTACTTGCATCACGTTTATATGATGAACCTTTTAAATCATATTTTTCATGAATTTCAATATTTGTTGGAATAAAATTTGAAAATATAGCAAAGCGTAATGTAAATGAATCAACTGTTATACTTTTTTGCTGTGATAAATATGGTATATAACCAAAACAGCCAAACAATTTAGAAATAAATGTTCCTGGAGTATTTTTAACATAATTATAATATTCATTCAAAAATTTTTGTTGAATAAATTTAGCATCATAATCACGTACAGTTTTTATAAGAAATGTTGAATCAAATGTTAAATAAAGAAGTGAACCTGAATTTGATGGATTTACTATTTCTTTAAGTTCACCATCACATATATGTGATTTTAATGTTTGTGGATTGATACCATAAATATTCATTAAAGCATTAAATATATCAAGTCCATATGCTTCAATATCAAAATCTGATAAAGAATGTGATGGTGTTATATTACTACCAGAAGCTGGAAATTTTTCTCGATGAATATATTCAGATGTTTTTTCAGCTTGATGCTCAAGAAAATAGCCAATGCCTATTATGGAAAATACATCAGTTTAAAAAAATAGATATTG